GTTTCTTAATGAGTTAAGTTTGATAAATGACATAACAAGAAAGAAATTATTAATACCATATTCAATCAGTGTTTAGTTAGAAGAATTTTTATTGAATCAACCCATTTTCTTATTTGAGGACTATGATGAAGTTGTAACAATGTTAGTTCCCATAAGCATGAGTTGATTGCACCTGAATGGTCTGGTTGTTGGACTGATGGATTATAAATACCAAATCCATTTTCTTGTTCAATAAGACCAATAAAAGTATCCCGATATCTTTTAAAGATCCAAGTGAGAACAGCACAGAAGTCTAAAGCTATAGAAGAGTCACAGTTCAACATCATAATTAATATTCTTTTAACAAATGAAGCAACTCTAACTGGAGGCAATTGTTTAATATCAAGAAGCATAATTTTTAAAACACCAACTAATTTTTGTCTATTATCAATGTGTTGTTCTCCAATAAAATCATCTTGGAATAATAGAATTTGGTCTAATACCTTATACATTGATTCATAAAATTGAACATTATCAATTGTAACAAGGAAATTTTGAAGTTTTAATGTATTAAAAATAGTATAACAGACTCTAATAGTATCAATTGGTTGTAATTTGTCTGCTTTGTTTTCAAGTAATTGTTGTAATAATTTGATAATATCTAACATAAAGTCATAATTAATTTTATGAGTGTGAATAGACATTCCTTCTAAAACTAAAGGAACTAATGGAGATTCTTGATTTTCTTTTAATACTCTAAAATATGTTCTGAAGATAGTATCTAAAACTAACATATTATATTTCTTTTTTTCTTCAACACTGTATTTAGTTTCAATTAATTTGACATCTTTATCAAGTTTTCTTTCAATTCTTAATTCTTTTAATTTCTTTCTTGATAACTTTTGTTTTTTATGATCAACATGTTTTAACTCCTCTTTTCTTGGGTTAGTTTTAATATTAAATGGATTAATTTCTTCTGATGTTGATTCAACAACAAGAAATGGACGAATAGTGTTTGGATTACATTCATAATTTTGTTTTTTAACGGTTTGAGCAATTCTTCTAACAATTTCTAATGTAACATCTCCCCTTAAATCATCTTGAATAACTTCTTGTAATGATTGTGAAATAGGATAATTGAATTCTTCATTTGATGAAAATAAGAATACCATTGAAAGTTCAACTAATGTAATGTGAAAATTAAAATGCCAATTTCTTTTTAATAAATCACATAAAACTTTTAATAAAATTTGTGCCATTGCTGTTTTAACAACACTACCTTTTATTAATAATCTTTTAAATGATGGTTTCATAATTTCACTCTTTAACAATGAAATGAACTTTCCATAATAAGATATTAAATTTTGTTCAAATGTTACTCTCTTTCTTACTGCAATAGAAAGTGTTCCTTTAGCTGATGTTAATAATTCATTACTTTTAATAATATAATCTGGACGAATATCACAAAATACTTTTGTTAATGAAAAACGGGATAATCCAGCTATAGCCATATTTTTTGAAGAACAAAAAGATAATAATTCTCTCAGAGCTAATGGAAAATCTGTTGAAGTAGTATCAGAAATGATTGAAGTACAAAGAGAGGCAATTCTTTTTTTTGCTAAATCAATATTAATAATAGGAGATTCTTCAACTTCATATTTTGGTAATTGGTCTTCTTTCAACACATCATTTTCAGTTATATTCATATCAGTTTCTCTTTCTTTTCTATCATCATCTTCATTTTCTTGATTTTCATCATCATCACTCATTTCTTCTTGATTCATATCTTCTTCGCTCATTTGATATTGTTCATCATCGTAGCTCATCTTTTTGTCTTGTAAGATCTTCATTTTTATTACTCTTTTAAGGTTTTTTGATGTACTATTAAAATAGTAAAAGAATGATAAAAGAAATGATTTGATAAAAAACAAAAAACAATCAAGGAAATCTTAATAGGTTTTTATGGAACAAAAGCAGAAGAAACATACTCATTTTAAAAAGGCAAAGAAACCATCTGACACACAAACCACAACTAACAAAACAAAAAAAAGAGAAAATAAGAAATTATTTTCAGTTAAACCAAAGATTCTTGAACGACAAAAAATTGAAGAAGAAATTAATGAATTAAATTCAAGAATAAGAAAAGAAACACCAGCAAGAGGAGTTAATCCACTTTTAAGTGAATCTAAAATAGGAGAAGATTATTCTATTAGTTATCCTGATGCTAAACGATTTGATCAATTTCCTATTAGTAAAGCAACAATTCAACTTCTTAATAAAAATCGTTTTATTACAATGACACCAATTCAAAGAGCTGCTATTCCACATGCATTAGCTGGAAGAGATATTATTGGAGCTGCAAGAACTGGAAGTGGAAAAACATTAGCATTTTTAATTCCACTTATTGAATTTATGTATCGTTCACGATGGACTGAATTAGATGGGTTATGTGCAATCATTTTATCACCAACAAGAGAATTAGCACAACAAATATTTGATGTATTTGCTTCGATAGCAGGAGAACGTTTTACTGCTGCATTGATTACAGGTGGAAAAGATACAAAAGAAGAAGCTAAAGTTATTCGATTAATGAATGTTTTAATATGTACTCCAGGTAGATTACTCTATCACTTAGACAATACACCTCATTTTAATACAACACCACTACGGATGTTAATTTTAGATGAAGCAGATAGAATTCTTGATATGGGATTCAAGAAAGATCTTACAGCAATATTAGAACATCTTCCTAAACAAAGACAAACAATGTTATTCTCTGCAACACAAACAAAATCTGTCCAAGACTTAATTCGTTTATCATTAAGACATCCAGAATATATTTCTGTTGATGAAAAAGCACAACATGCAACTCCAGAAACATTAAATCAAACATATATGTTACTTGGTGATGGAGATAAAATTAATGTTTTATTTTCATTTATTAGAACACATACTAATTCTAAAATGATTGTCTTCTTCCAAACAACAAAAGAAGTTAGATTTTTCTTTGAAACATTCAAAAAATTAAGGGTTGGAGCAGTGTTATATTTATTATATGGTCGTCAATCACAAAATAGTAGGAATGAACAACTAAGTACATTTACAAAAGAAAAGAGAGGTATTTTATTTTGTACTGATATTGCATCTCGTGGATTAGATATTCAAGGAGTAGATTGGATTGTTCAATATGATTGTCCTGAAGACACAGCACAATATATTCATCGAGTCGGAAGAACAGCACGAATAAATCATAATGGTCAGGCATTATTATTACTTACACATAATGAAGAAGCATTTGTTGAACAATTAGAAAAAGCTAAAGTGCCATTGAATAGAGTAGAACCAAATATTGCACGAATGAAGAATATTGCCAATGACATCACTGAGTTAATGATTGAAGTTCCAATTATTAAACACTATGCAGAAAAGAGTATTGATGCATATATTTATAGTTTAACAAAGATGCATAATAAAGCTGTTTTTGATTCAGAAAAAGTTGATGAAAAAGCAATGAGACAATCCTATGGATTATTTGCTGATAAACTAGAAGAAACAAACAAAGAAGACCATATCAAATTTGAAGAAGAAGATGATGATGATGTTGTAGAAGAAGCTGCTACAAAAGCTGAAGAAGAAGATGACGATCTATTAGAAAAGGCAGACGAACAAATTATTGAAGAAGTTAAACCAAAACAATTTGACATTTCACTTAAACCAAAACGATTAACCAAGAAAGCAATTCACTCAGTTGGAACTTACATCAAATTTGAAGACTCTGATACTGAACAAGACAACCAAAACGATTTAGTTGAAAAGATGGAAGAAGAAATGAGAGTTGCTGATATTGAAGATAAAGAGACTGCAAAAAAAGAATTGAAAATCAAACGAATGAAAAAACAAAGTGCATTGACTGGATTTGCAGACGTTGAAATTGCTGATGACAGAAAAAGAAAGAGTAGTCTTACTGAATCAATGAAAGAACCAAAAACAAAGAAAACAGCAGAAGAAATGCTACAAGAAAAATTAAAAGGAAGTTCATTACTTTAAAAAACAGACATTAACTTTGATTGACTTTTTGATTAGAGAGTATTTTGTGTTTATTCATAAATTAAATCACATTTAAATGTAAAATTGGTGACTATTTGTTGAATAATTTTGATGTCTAAAAATAAATTATATTTTTAATTGAATATTTATTCTATTTTTGTGTATACTAAATGAGATAAATACAGTATCTGGTTAGTCTTCTTGTTTTAAGCTTATTGATAAAAGAACAAAAACATAATAATATTCATTTTTCTTTATTTCTTATATCGGTCAATAAAAATAATAAAAGATAATTTTGTCAATATGTTAATTATTTATTTTACATAATTATTCAAAAACATATATTGAAATTCTTTTCTTTTATTATCTTCATTTTTAAACAAACATACAGAACAAGAAACGCAACAAAATATAAAAACAAATAACAAAAGAAAGATAAATTCATATTAACCAAGGAGTAAAAATAATAGAAAATTGAGTGAAAACAGATATTATTTGTATTATCATAAATACTTTACTCATCTCATTAAACATTACAATAATAATTATCATAATATTGATGATGTGAGTCATTTCATTCAACACATTATTCATTTTCATAAATATTTTAACTATAATTTCAATATAAACAACTGTGTTTTTATAATAGAAGTTAGTGTCATAATAAAACTCAACGAATAACAAAATACTAAA